TATTTTCCACGTGTAAATTATTATGTACCTCTCCCGCCTGCGCTCAAGGGAGTACAGTTTTAGACTCTTTAGTCGGTCCCAGTAATTTAGATGTTTTACTGAGTGGATTCTAGCAGTAAAGGATCTCTGCACGCTCTCCAGGTCAGCAATTTCTCCAGCTTGGAAAGGGGCTGTCATTGTGCAACAGTACTCCACTCTAGAGAGCACAAGCGTTTTGAAAAGTATCATCATCGGTATAGCATCTCTAGTGTGAAAAGTTCTTGTTATCCAACCTGTCCTTTTTCTTGCAGTTGTGACGGCTACTTTATTGTGTTCGTTAAAGGTAAGGTCTTCCGACATGAGTACACCCAGATCCTTTACATTGCCTTTTCGTTCTATGTTATGATTTGCCTGAGTTTTGTACGTGGTTTCCGTTTTTATATTTTCATTTTTTCCATAGCGCATGATCTGAAACTTATCTTCGTTAAACACCATATTATTTTCTGTAGCCCATAGAAAGACCTGATCTACATCTGACTGGAGGTTTGCTGTGTTCTCTATGTTGCCTACTCTCATGAAGATCCTAGTGTCATCTGCAAAGGATGATACAGTGCTATAGGTTGTGTTCTTGTCTATGTCCGATATGAGGATGAGAAAAAGTACTGGAGCAAGCACAGTACCCTGGGGGACTGAGCTTTTCACGGTTGATGGGCTGGATTTTATTTTGTTGACTATTACACATTGGGTTCTGTTGGTCAGGAAATTGTAGATCCATCTGCCTATTTTTCCGGTAATTCCTTTTGAACGCATTTTATGTGCAATAACACCATGGTCACATTTATCAAAAGCTTTTGCGAAATCTGTGTAAATTACATCAGCGTTTTGTTTGTCTTCCATAGCATCTAATGCCATATCATAGTGTTCCAGCAACTGCAACAGGCAAGAGCGCCCTGTTCTGAAACCATGTTGTCCAGGGTTATGGAGATGCCGTGATTCCATGTATTTTGTGATCTTACTTCTTATCACTTTTTAAAATTTTTTATGATGTGCGATGTTAGTGCTATCGGTCTGTAATTTTTTGCCTCTGCCTTATTTCCTCCTTTATGAAGTGGTACTATATCTGCTGTTTTTAGTATGTCAGGGATAACGCCAGTATCTAGGCTTTGTCTCCACAGAATGTGGAGGGCCTGCGATAGTGGTTTTTTACAGTTCTTGATGAATATGGAGTTCCAAGAATCTGGGCCTGGTGCAGAGTGCATAGGCGTACTGTTTATGGCTTCTTCAAAATCCAGTGGGGATAGGGTGACGTCTGATATATGATTTGATGTTGGTATCATATCCAAGCTTTAGTGCGTTTAATGGCTCGCTGAAAACAGAGTCGTACTGCTTCCTCAGTAGCTCGCTCATTTCTTTGTTGTCATCGGTGAAAGTTCCATCTCCCTTTCGCAGGGGCCCGATACTAGATGTGGTTTTTGATCTTGATTTTGCATAGAGAGAAAAAATATTTCGGATTTCTCTCTATTTCACTGATGGCCTTTTGCTCTCTTTGCCTCTCCTGGGTTTTGTATGATTCTTGTAGCTTCCGTTCAATTGTTTCTATTTCTCTACCTAACCTTCTTCGCCGTTCATGAGATAGGGTGCGACTCTCAAGTTGTTCCGCGATTCGTTTTCTTCGCCTATATAGGGAACGACGTTCCCGTTCCGATCTGTATCTTTTTCACTTTTTTCTTAGGGGTATGCGGTTTGAACATATTTCTAGTGCTACTGAGCTTATTTTTTCCAGGCACTGGTTCAGGTTTGCATTTTCTAGCTGTTCTTCCCAGTTTATTTCTGTGAAGTCCTGGTTTATTTGCTCCCAGTTTATCTGTTTATTATTGAAGTTGAATTTGCTGAAATCTCCTCCACCGGGAATCTGGACTGGTTTTGAAGGTCTATTCCCCCTGGTTGTCAGAACTTCAATTAAGTTGTGATCTGAGTAACAGGTATTTGTAATCATTATGTTCCCGAACAATTCATCATTATTAGTGCAAATGAGGTCCAGCGTGTTCTCCTTCCTAGTTGGTTTTACTATTTACTGGTTTAAGGCAAACCTGTCGCACAGCCGTAGCAGGTCATTTGCATGTGCCTGTTCATTTAGGCTACTTCCTGGTATTCTTTCTGATATTACTGTATTAGCCAGGGGCTTCCATTTCAGGTGCCGTAGGTTGAAGTCCCCAAGCAGGATGATGTTCGGAGCTGGATTTGTGAGGTTTTTCAAGCAGTGTTCTATTTTCATTAGTTGGTCTTTAAACTGCTGAGGGTTTGCCTCCGGGGACTTATATAAAGGACAACAACTACATTTAGGATCTCTATTTTGACTATCAGAACTTCCACCATATCATTTGAGGTGTTTAGCAGCTCAGTACAGATGAGTGTGTCTTTGATGTAGAGGCTGACCCCACCCTGAAGTTGGTGTTTCTTATCACATCTGAAAAGATTGTACTCTGAGATCCATATTTCAACATCAAGGTAGTCCTTTGTGTGATTTTCCGTTAGAGCTGCAAACACTGCATTTGTCTCATGAAGGAGACCATCTATAAAGTGAACTTTGTTGGATTTGCGTGATTTTATACCCTGGATGTTGGCAAATATAAATGATGTTATCGTGTTAGTGGAAGTGCTGGATGCTTTACTTGGTGTTAATATCTGAGGCTCTGGTAAGGAGGCCACTGTGTTTGCGTCCTCTCTAGCATTTGACCGAGTTGGTGGTAGAGTCTGGTCATTTTTAGCCATTCTTCTCCTCCTCTTGCTTGGCGGGAGGAGACCCTTGAGCAGGGTCTCCTCCCAGAAAGCCAATGCTGCTTCCGTGCAAAATGCGGAACTGTCAATATGATATTTGCTGCCAGCCAGCTCCAAGAAAAATCTCCAAGAACAACATAGCGACCTCTTCGTGACCTTCGTCGACCTGACCAAGACCTTCGATAAGGTCAGCAGAGATGGCTTGTGGAAAATAATGTAGATCCACGATGGCATGATGGTGAGAGTACTGGACGATGGAGACGAGTCAGAAGCCATCCCGGTGACGAAAGGTGTGAAACAGAGCTGCGTTCTCGCCCCACCACTCTTCAGCATAGTATTCTCGGCCATGCTCACTGAGGCCTTCCGTCATTGCCAGGATGGAATACCCATCAGATACAGGACTAATGGTGGGCTGTTCAACCTCATGTGCCTACAGGCTGTTTGGTAAAAAACTGTCTTAAGAGACCTATTCACAGATGAGTGTGCCCGCAACGCTAGCACGGAGAAAATGAAGCAACACGAAATGAACTGCTTCTCACAAGCCTTCAACAACATCGGTCTCATCATCAGCACCAAAAAGACTGAAGTCATGTATCAACCCGCACCCAGAATACCCTCCCAGGAACCACGCATCACTGTCAAGGAGCTGAACCTGCAGGCAATCGACAGCTTCACCAGTCTTGGCACCATACTCCCAAGAGCGGTGAACATAGACGCAGAAGTCAACCACAGAATCGCCAAGGCCAGCGCTGCCTTTGGAAGATTCCATGAGAACCTTCGCGAGGCCAGCAGAGGGGCCTCAGCCTTACCACCAAACTGAAGGTCTACCGTGCAGGGGTACTCACCACCCTTCTCTACACCAGCGAGACCTGGACTATCTACTGCAGACACGCCAAACAGCTCAATCACTTTCATATGAGCTGTCTTCGCAGACTCCTCCCCATCAGGTGGCAGGACAAAATCCAGGGCAAGGAGGTCCTGGAAGGGGCCGGTATTCCCAGCGTCAACACCCTCCTATAAAAACCTCAGGCCAGAACAGCTGCTGTATGGAGAATTACGCCATGTCACGCATTCTGTTGGGGGGGCAGAAGAAACGATTCAAGGACTGCCTCAAGGTGATCCTCAAAGACCTGGACATCAACCCCAATACTTGTGAGTCGTTAGCTCAGGACCATCCAACTTGGAATGGCAAAGTCGTCAGAGGGACCCGTGCTGCAGAAAACAGACGGACTGCAGAGGCCCAGAGGAAACGCGCTGCAAAGTTAGAGCCACATTCACCTCTGCAGTAGCACCCACCCACATGTGTCCTGTGTGTGTGGGGTGAGGCTTCCCCACCCAGAATGATCTCATCCTCCATCATCTGACACACAGTCACCTACCTTCCACCTGGTATATTGAAGTCAGGGTCATCTTCGCTGCCAATGGACGAACATCAAGTATTACATATGGTCCTAGGTAAGGATGTGGTCCTTGGCATTTGATATGGTCTTTGGTATTGTATGTGGTCCCAGGTATTGTATGTGGTCCCAGGTATTGTATGTGGTCCCAGGTATTGTAGGTAAAGAACAGGAGATAATTGGTTGATGATAAACATTTCAAATGGCCCTTGACAACACTTTTATTTTTAAACAATATATATAGAGACATGACAGATGTTGTGACAGAGTACACACTATGGAACAATGTGTGTCATATGCGACAGAGTACACACTATGGAACAATGGTACACCAGAGAACTGATTTACGTTCATGGGAGTCAAGAGAGTTGGTCGTGTCGCGACCCCTAGGGGAGTCAGCTAGGATGACGCCTAGCCGTAGCTAGGAGGTCTCCTAGGCACAGCTTGGAGGGCTCCTAGCCGTAGCCTGGTAGGGGTTCCTAGCTGTGGCTAGGAGGGCTCCTAGTGGAAGCAGTGAGTGCAGGGCCCCACCAACACGACCAACAACTCTTCACAACCCCTGCTCGACACAGACAATACTTGGGGTTGTGATCTCCCGAGAAGTCAAATAGCTTAAAGAAACATTTCTCAGTTGACATTCATGGCAAAATATATATACACAGCTTAGATTATGTTCCTGTTGGGGTTAGATATGTCTTGATCTATGGCAGATGGCGGCCGATATGACAATAGGCTTTGTTTACATCGATATATATATATATATATATATATATATATATATATATATATATATATATATATATATATATATATATATATATATATATATATATATATATATATATATATATATATATATATTCTATAAAATAACAAAAAGCAAGTACTTGAAAGCACCTTGATAAGAAGTTGATATTTAGGACATCTTAAAGATCCACTTCACCCAGACTCGAGAGGGAAAGATTTGTCTCAAACAATGAATCCAAAATACATCGTTGCCAAGAAGGAAAGCAAGTAATTTACATTGTTTACATTGTGTTCTGATATGGCATCTGTGATATGCGGATTGAATACGTGATATGATATTACAAGGCTACACACCTGTTTCTTGACACTAGTACGTAGCCTGGTACAAGAACGTCAACAGGCTACAGTCGGATACATGCACACGGCCTGACGCAAGAGATAATACAAAGACTAAGACTCCTCTCCCAATGGCAGGTATGGCACCTAGACTCTTCTTTGGGCTCCTAAAAGACTGCCCAGACAAATTAAAACCGGTTGCCGAGCCGGTTAGCCGACAATGGTAGCCGTTCATGGCTGGGATCACCCAATGGCACCATGAACAACCATCTAGAAATTAAAAAGATGATTGTTTCTGCTTGCAGAGAGGACAAGAGGATATGTGAAGGTCAGAGGTGACCCAGGATGTTGTCTCACGCAGAGTGACTTGCTGCTGCTGCTGCTCCGGAGGGCGTGTCTGGCGGGCGTGGCTTGGCATATGGGGGCGTGGCTTGGTATGAGGGGGCGTGGGTTGAGAAGGGTGTGGAAGGGCTAGCGTAGACTCCACACTCCCAGCTCCTGTTGCTCCACTGGTCCACTGTACCACCCGCCCATACTGTCCTCCACCACTGTAACAAACACATTACTGTAACACTCTAACTCATGTAACACTGTAACTCATGTTTCAAATGAAAAATTGTTCATGTTGTATAGCGTTAAACTCGTCCATAGTGACAAAGGAACAATTCATCAAGGCGGAAGACGCCGTTCTACTTAAGCCAATAAAAGAGTCAAAGGTAGATGTGTCGTATGATACAAAACCATATAAAGTGATTAGTGTAAAAGAGACAATGGTAACAGCGAGTAATAGAGCTCGTGAGATAACACGTAATATGACTTATTTCCCAGTGATTCTAACTAGTGTAAACAATGAAGCGTAAAGTCGTACAAACGATACACAACAAAATATGAGTTATAACTCAAGAAACATTTTATCAAAGAATATTATTGTGTTTAAGGACTCTCGTCCTTAAACGTCATTGTCAACGTTCTAAACGTCATTGTAAACGCTCTAAACGTCATTGTAAACGCTCTAAACGTCATTGTAAACGCTCTAAACGTCATTGTAAACGCTCTAAACGTCATTGTAAACGTTCTAAACGTCATTGTAAACGTTCTAAACGTCATTGTAAACACCCCTAAACGTCATTGTAAACGTTCTAAACATCATTGTAAACGTTCTACACGTCATTGTAAATGTTCTGAACGTCATTGTAAACGTTCTAAACGTCATTGTAAACGTTCTAAACGTCATTGTAAACGTCATTGTAAACGTTCTAAACGTCGTTGTAAACGTCATTGTAAACGTTCTAACCTTCATTGTAAACGCTCTTAACGTAATTGTAAACGTTCTAAACGTCATTGTAAACGTTCTAAACGTCATTGTAAACGTTCTAAACGTCATTGTAAACGCTCTAAACGTCATTGTAAACGTTCTAAACGTCATTGTAAACGTTCTAAACGTCATTGTAAACGTTCTAAACGTTGTTGTAAACGTCATTGTAAACGTTCTAAACGTCATTGTAAACGTTCTAAACGTCATTGTAAACGCTCTAAACGTCATTGTAAACGCTCTAAACGTCATTGTAAACGCTCTAAACGTCATTGTAAACGCTCTAAACGTCATTGTAAACGTTCTAAACGTCATTGTAAACGCTCTAAACGTCATTGTAAACGCTCTAAACGTCATTGTAAACGCTCTAAACGTCATTGTAAACGCTCTAAACGTCATTGTAAACGTTCTAAACGTCATTGTAAACGCTCTGAACGTCATTGTAAACGCTCTAAACGTCATTGTAAACGTTCTAAACGTCATTGTAAACGCTCTAAACGTCATTGTAAACGCTCTAAACGTCATTGTAAACGCTCTAAACGTCATTGTAAACGCTCTAAACGTCATTGTAAACGCTCTAAACGTCATTGTAAACGTTCTAAACGTCATTGTAAACGCTCTAAACGTCATTGTAAACGCTCTAAACGTCATTGTAAACGCTCTATACGTCATTGTAACACATGTAACTTTGTAACATTATCACAATTAGCTTTGTACAAAGAGAGTTACATTATCAAGCAGTCCCCGTGGTGTAGTGGTAAGACACTCGCCTGGTGTTTCGCAAGCGCTTTGGCCTGGGTTCGTATCCTGGCCGGGGAGGATTGACCGGGCGCCGATCCTAAACTGAAGCCTCTGTTCACCCAGTAGTAAATGGGCACCTGGTTGTTAAGTGATTTGGCGGGTCGTATTCCAAGGAACATTAGTATTAAGGACCTGCCCGGACCGCTACGCGTGCTGGTGACTGTTCAACATCTTTACGTCTTAACAACGCTGCTAGTCATGTTCCATTGGAAGTTTTAAAGTCAGGAACCAAGCAATGGCTCTTCATCAGCCCCACAACCAAGGCCATCCACAGCAACACACAACACCATTCAATTCATAATGTAGCACTGAGAACAGGATATGCTTTTTCACCCACAGAGTTAAAAGCCCATGGAACAGCCTACGCGCTCAAGCAGCAAATGCCAAAACTTTGTTAACATTTAAAGTACAGCTGTAATAAAATCATCAGGGCAAATGGGGGGGGGGGACATTTGACAAGTTGCCGGCTTCCTGTCCTCCTCGAAGTCACTAGTAATAGTGACTCACAGGAAAACAGGTAAACCCATGAGCGAGAGTACTAAGAGATTGATTAACTTAGTCTCCCTACAGTCGTTTTCTCTAGAGCCAAACTAGGAGTGGAAATACGTCATAGAAAACGTTATTGCTTGCCACACGTAACTAATGCAATACAAAAAGTTGACATATTTGTATTTATTTATATTATTATATATATATAAGAGTTGTTACAGTGTTGTACAGCCACCAGCACGCATAGCGTTTCGGGCAGGTCCTTAATCCTAATTTTCCCTGGAATACGACCCTCCACAGCGTTCAACAACAGGTACCCATTTACTGCTGGGTGAGCAGAGGCTATAGTTATGGATTGGCGTGTACACACACTTGAGGGCCCGCCTCCCATGTTACACACACACTTGAGGGCCCGCCTCCCATGTTACACACACACTTGAGGGCCCACCTCCCATGTAACACACACTTGAGGGCCCACCTCCCATGTAACACACACTTGAGGGCCCACTTCCCATGTAACACATACACTTGAGGGCCCCCTCCCATGTTACACACTTAAGGGACCACCTCCCCTGGGGTGAAGCTGTAGTGGGTGAAGCTTTACTGGGTGAAGCTTTATCCTTGTTGATTAAAGGATCTAATCTGGCTTTACATTTATTCTCAAAAAGATCCAGATCATCCATAACATTATCTACTTTATTTGATGTACTTGCTATTTGTTCTGATTCAATTATCCTGTGTAAATGTTCCAACCTGCCTTGAGTTTCTTCTTCATATTGTGCTAGGTCAGACAGGAATGGTTCCACATCTTCAACTACTACATCATCGTGGACTTGATTTTGGTAAGATTTCCTATTTGCTTTCAATATATGCAATTGGGTTTGAATCTGTAACAGTGGTATTTTCAACCGATGATAATTAATTACAGGCTCATATAACAACTGTTCATATTGGTTGAGATCTCTTGTTAGTTGGCGTTTGCTTGATATTAAAGCACGCTTTGCTTTCTGTGGATTAGTCATGGTGACTTGTTAATTGAGCACCACTGGCTCATAAATTGTGAGCAAGTACTAATGGTAGCCTAGGGTAAATTCTGCACTCACTAGGCAATAATCCTACCTCTACTAGAGGTTAGCACTTAAAATTAATACACATTATATATATATACAATCATACACACTAATGATTTGAGTGATAAACCAGTGTCACTGGAAGTACCTTTAGGTTAGCTCTTCTATATCACCCTAGGATGGTAGAGACACTAATTAATCACTCAAAGGTGTAATGATCATAAGTAATTTATTATATATACAACTCAACTCGAGTTGTTAAAAATTACACCCAAAATAGGGTCTGGACCATGCATTAATGGTGTTAGGTTGTTCAATATAGTACAACTGACTATAGTAATAATGGGACTAGGATGAACAATAATAGTTCAACTAGTCAATGGTAATATCCTACCCTGTTGTGGGTTGGCAATTAGTAAATATTATACTGTGATCACTAGTGCAATATATATTAAATAATTCTCTATTTTGGAGAAATAATATACACAATTATTGTTAATAGCCTCTTAATTAGCCTCTATGAAACTTCTAATATTATCTAGAAGTATTAAATATTATTAGTGACCTCGCGAAATAAACTCCACAAAATTCGTAGATAATCTCTCGCGAAATGTAACACCACGAAATCCGTGAACAATCTCGCGAAGACACAGTCACTAATTTGGCTGGTTTCTATATTAGCGCTGTCATTTCACAGAATAACACGCCACCAAATCTGTGGGTGTGCATGAAACCGCTGACTAAGGCTGAACTCGGCTGAGGGAGGCTCCTGAGCTCCCTCGAGGCTACGCTGCCGTCTTGACTGCTGGCTTTGTTTAAATAACACTGCACTAGTATATTTAATGAATCCACTGGTTAACTGGTTCATCCGGTACTAAGATGACCAAATGTGGGTTCATAGGACCGAATATTCCGGTTCCGAAGGTCCAAATAATGTGGGAACCGACCTGTGAGATTTATATTTATTTAATTTATATGAATTTATATTTACGTTAATTTGTATACTTCGATAGCAATTTGTATAATGTTAAGTGGACTGTATTTCTGCAATAATCTCAATCTCACAAATCGATCCTCTACACATTAGGGGTGGTTTATTAGTTTATATATATGCAGCCAATCAAACTACAGTAATAGCTACATACATTGATGAGGTTCCTTATCTTATAGTACAGCAGGTTAGTCCACCAGGTATAACTAGGGTGTAGACACCAAATTATCCTCTTTGAGGTAGCTTCCATATCACCCAGTAACTGGTGCACAAAATCTTGCATCCTCGTCTTGACCTGTCAAAAGTGCGCTAGCTGTGAAGCCAGAATCCTATATATGACAAGCTATATCAGAGAAAACACTATACAGTACATGGAACTTTAAAGACCTGGCTTAATTACCTTTAGTATGAGGCGATTTCGCGTTCTAACCGGCTAACCCTATATCCTGACATTAATGGCCATAAATGAATGATAAACGGGTTTCGGATAGACACTTAACTTGTATTTGTAGACAGCGTGTTGACAATGGTACACCTTTGGGTTCCATAACACTACGTCCAAGTAAATTTAACAGGAGCCGAATTTGCTCCCGTGTGAGCCTCTGGTCTCAATAATAACAATGGCTGCCCTCCTTCCTCCACTCTGACGCCTGGCTTACATTGTCCAGATTTCAGAACGTGATAGAAGGGTCACATTTACTCTACTTTAATATTGATAATTAAGTTAATTTATATAAGATGTTTTTATGATGGTAAAGTCCAAAGACTAATGTATTTAAGAATAATTCCCAGCAGAATAGCTGGTGAATTATAATAGTATGTGGTGATGATATCCCGTTTTCTTTAGATGGTAATTCCACTACAAGTTACGTTTTCTATGGGTAA